GCCATGGGCCGGGGGGAGGGCACAACCACCTCAGGAATGCATGCCCATGGTGTGCCTGCACTACTGTGATGCCCGGATAATTAAGCAACAGTAATCCTCTGCTAATGATGCCATGTCACCACTATTACTGTTGCTAATCTCACGTTGATCCAAATCTGGTTCAATTCAAATTCAAAATCAAGTCAAACAATTAAAGTTTCCAAATGTCAAAACTAAAAAAAGTACAAACTATGGCAAATAAATCATAAGTAATAATGGTGGAGAAACCACATTTTTATAGAATGTTTAAATACACTAAGCTAATTAAAACAGTAGCTAAAACCATTAGTTAATTGCCTTTTGTATTTTATAAAATACTAAACTATTTTATTTTGGGACCAAACTTTTGGTGGCATTGTCTAATTTTGCAATGTGAATTATGGGGACAAGTTTCCTATTTTACTAAACCTACTTGCTATTTAAGATAAGCACAAAACATAACAAATAAAAAGAAACAGAAAAAGAAAAAGGAAAACTAAAAAAGAGGAAATAGTAACTAACCTAACCTACTGGGCACTTGGCCCACCTAGCAAAGCTCACGGCCCAGCCCACCTCCATCTCCCTCCACCTCCCGCTACAGGAGGCGGGGGGAAGCGTGGCGGCCATCCTGGCCTCCCTGGCCGGCGATGCCGCCGTGGCACCCATCCCATGGCCCCCTCTGAGGTTAAGAGCAACCCTGTGGCCCCTCCCCCGAACCCTAGCTCTCTCTGTTTTCTTCCTCTTCCCCTCCCTCGTTCGATCCCATCCCTGCCCGAGTTCGGCCGTCGCCAAGTCGTCATCGTCCCCGAAACCACCGTCGTCCCCGCACCCCGCCAAGGAGTCTAAGAGCTCCACAGTGTTCTTCTACCTCATCTATGGCCACCCGTTCGAGCTCGACGGCTCTGCATCGTGCGGATCGAGCTCTTCTTCCACCTTCGGCCACCCCGGCCTCACCGTCGATCCGCGCCACCTCATCAACCCCGACCCCGCACGAGCTCACCATCGTCTTCCTCTCGGTGAGCTGCACCGGTTCCCCTTTTCCCCCCTTCGATTTCGTCGCCATAGACTGTCACACCACCGCGCCCCAGCTCCTGGTTGCCGCCCCCCCGTGGCCGTTGATAAGTCTCCAA